TACCCAATTKACATGGTACCCGTACATGTCACGGGCCACATGCTGGTACAACTGCCCTTCTTGAATCACATGGGCCGCAATGTTACTGGTTGCAACCACATCCTTCCGCATTGCCACATGGTCCCATACGTCCATACAGATGCCATCAAATGTGGTTTTTTTCTCCCTTACGTGAACGTATGTGATGCACTTCTCACCACTAAACACCGTCCCTTCAACGAGAGCCAACTCGACAGGACTGCCAAGTGGCGGGTCAAAGATGCGTGCATCGCGTGGTCGGCATGTCACCGCCACCTTTTCGTCTGCAGTCGCTTCTCTGTCGAAATGACGGAAGGAAAACATGCCGTTCACGTAATGCGCGCTCCACACATTGCCCATGATATCACGCACTTGCATCTTAACACGGCCATATCCAAATGGGATTTCAGATGGTACCCAACCCCATCGAGGATCCCTTCTTGCATCATCCTGGCCGACTGGCGTCCCCTCCCTGCGTTGCTGGCCACCCAACACCCGCAGCTGTCCGCAGTCAAAGTTGTCATATAAGAAATCGTTGAGCAACAACTCACCCTTTGCCTCTAGAACACGATACATCTCCAATGCGTAATGGCAAGCATCGTGGGTCGTTGCCCCATCATTCAGCCTCAACACTCTGTCATAGATAAATGACAGACATACATTACGTCATGTTCCTTTCTTTGGGGCAGGAACAACAACCCACTGATCAACAACCTTGAAAGCAAAGCAATGCACACCTCCAATGATACCTGGCTGAACACGACCTGGCACCTAATTCACATCGTACGGGTATGTATCTCCTGCCATTGTCTTCGTCACATTTGCATCTGTGACAATGCATCCACTGTGAGGACCCTCGCTGCCAACATCTTCCTCGTTTCTCTCTCCACCCACCTTCTTTATCTCAGCACTGTTCCCTCGTGCGCCGCTATCGTTGTCATCCACGCCAGCAAGCATATGCTCAGTTTCCATATGAATTGTTGCGAGCACCTCTTCACATGCAGCACTGGCTGTGCCCCCGCCGCTGGTCTGTTGATGAAATGTGGTTTGGATGACCCCACTTGCAGGGGAAAGACCACTTAGAATGGCTTCTGTTTCCATGACGTTGGTATCTCCAGCATTGGCGGCCGTTGCAATTGCGGGTTCCATCTAAATATTTGCACAACACATAAGGTCATGAGTCGACATCGCTGACAAAATGTTTCCACAAAAGAGAGAGAGAGAGAGAGAGAGAGAGAGAGAGAGAGAGAGAGAGAGAGAGAGAGGTTGGCTACTGCGGGCCAGAACGACGTTATTGAGTAACGTTTAACCGTAATATGGCACGCAGTAGTCAACCGACTCATTCGTAGGCCAGAACATAATTACATTGAAGCAGACACTTCATACATATATACATATATGCATATGAGAGAGAGAGAGAGAGGTTGGCTACTGCGGGCCAGAACGACGTTATAGAGTAACGTTTAACCGTATTATGGCACGCAGTAGTCAACCGACTCATTCATAGGCTGAGACAGGGGTTGAATAGGCGAACCTTGCGACAAGAACATAATGACATTAAAGCAGACACTTCATACATGTATACATATATGCATATGAGAGAGAGAGAGAGAGAGAGAGAGAGAGAGAGAG